AAATTGTAATAATATAAAATAATATAAAATCAATCATAAAAATATAAAAATTTATAATTTATAAAATTATAAAATTGTAATAATATAAAATAATATAAAATCCAAATCTGAGGAAATTACTAAAAAAAAGGACTTTTCAGTCTATTATTTACATCATTATCGGTAAAAAAAAAAAGAAAGATAAATTGGATCGAGAAAGAATCTGGATTGAATATCCTTTCATGTCATTATGTTTTACGCTCATATTTATACGAAAGCGTCAACTGTAGTTCGTAAAAAGAGAAATAAAATCGGCACACCTCAAGTTTCGAAGACTACAAAGTTTCGAACTCTCGAGTTTCGAACGGCCATCTGCGAAAATAACGTAGACAAATGAAATTGAAACGTTACCTACGAAACCTTTTAGAAATATGGAATAATTGCGTGCGTGAATGACACGACGAATAATCTTTCTCTTTTCTTCTTTCTTTCTTTTTGTCACGAAAATTTTCATCGATATCAAATATTTCAAGGAAGCTTGCGATTGGATGTTACAGCGGAATCGGATATATGCACGTTCGCGACGAGGACCGAGCATTTTCACATCGTTAACAAACCATCGACGGAGCTGTTCACATCGAACACCAGGCCGAAAGCCTTGAGGGAATTATACGAGGCTGCCGCTATAGTCGCTGTCAGAAGTTTGGATAGCCTGAGAAGGGATGGCAGCTCCATGGATATGTTCCTTTGCACGCCCGTCCTTGGCAAGAGAAGGCGCGACCAAAGTCTCGACATCGAATCCAGGATCGTAAGTATACTTGCGTATTCTCCTATCGGTCTCTCTCTATACTTCCCTGTACACGTGCGGGATTACGCTTCAAAATGCAGAAACGCTTTCATTTAGATACGGATCGTCGAATCGCGGATTTATCCTGACGTATAATTATTTCATTCTTATCTGAAATATTTGAGCGTGATGTACGAAATGTCTCGTTTCTTCGAGTAAAGTGAATGTTTCATTTTTGTTTTTTTTTTTGGGGGGGGGGGCTCTTTTTTATTTATCAGGATTCGTCATTATTTCATTTTTATCTGAAATGTTCGGGTGTAACGTACGAAATGTCTGATTCCTTCGAATAAAGCGTTTCGTTTCTTTTTTTTTTTTTTTGTTTTTATTACTACAGAAAGTTTAGATAGAATTTCTCCAATGGTTGTCAATTAATTAGCAATACATTTTGATAATAATTTTTTCTTCCTTAAAGAAATAATATATCTTTTTCTTCGATAGATTTTAATGTTGCATTAACTTTTATGAAATAATATATCTACTATATAGTAATATAGTAGTATAGTAGTGTATATATATATCTATCTTTTAAAGAAATAATATATCTTTTTCTTAGATAGATTTTAATGTTGCATTAACTACTCTCGAAAGTTTAGAGCACTCGTCGATTTAATCAAGAAATAAATAAATACGTGAATGTTGTGCTGTAAATTATAAACGCTAATAGTTTATGCATGGATATTAATATCTTTAGTAACCTAATTTCATCTGTCGAGAAAACAAAATTGGCAGTGCTACGAAAATATGGATTATGTTTAACTCTAAATTAAAGATGGACTTAATTATTATAATTCTGTTATATTCCATTTATATCTGTTCGAACCTCATTACTTAGAATTACACGAGGTTTTCTGAGAAATGAGATTTTTCTATGAAAAAATCTTCTGCAATTGAGTATGGATCAGGGCAAATTTTTATTTGAAATAAGAATAAACTAATTCATTATTTTTCTTTGAAAAATAACTTGTTGTCAGGAAAAGTAATTCGAGTTGATTCATTGAATCAAAATAACAAATAAACAGAAGTTGTAATTTATACAATAGAATTAAAAATCTTTGAATGAAACAAACACAAAATAAAAGAGAAAGTAATTAAGAAGTTACTTTATTTGACAGTCATATAATTAAATAATTTAGGAAAAAAAATCGTCTGTTTGTTGAAATAAACCAACGTAGAGTTATTCCAAGATAATATCGAGTCAAAGAGGTATGTTATTTAGATAATCATTTTTCATTGCTCGGTATGTATGCCCAGATGTTCAAATAAATAATTTTATTCTATTCAATTTTATTTTATTTCATTCAATTTTATTTTATTTTATTCTATTCAATATTATTTTATTTCATTCAATTTTATTTTATTTTATTCTATTCAATTTTATTTGATTTCACTCAATTTTATTTTATTTCATTCAGTTTTATTTTATTTCATTCAGTTTTATTTTATTTCATTCAATTTTATTTTTTTTCATTCAGTTTTATTTTATTTTATTCAATTTTATGTTATTTCATTCAATTTTATTTTATTTCATTCAATTTTATTTTATTTCATTCAATTTTATTTTATTCAATTACACGATAACGTAAATGAAACAGACTCTTGACGAATTTTTTCTCGAATAATATCGCGATAATCTGTGCAAAGGACAGCGGCGAATCACGAGCATAAGCAGAAGATAAATAGAATAATAAAAAGAAAGGATTGAATTTAGCTAGGTTGCGAGTTTCATATCTGTAGGGCTCGGTACATAATCCCATTGCTGTGGCCACGTTCGCGCAAGCAAGTTCAATGGGAGATGTCATGGGAAGCCATGGGAGATACACTGAATCTCTACATGGTGGTCCCTGTCGGGAGCATGAACCGCTCTATAATGATACGTATCGTTCCCTCGCATTGTCGTTTCGTTAATGCATTAGTCTCTTAATAACACACGACCCACTGTCCAACGACTTCTATGATCCCTTGTGATATACTCTTATTAGGGATACTATTATACGGAACATGTTTTTCTTGTTATTCACTATCGTGTTCGTCTCTTAATTAACGTTATTAGCTCGTTATTAACAGGAGGAAAATTACAGCGTATAATAATTTTGATGCTTGGTTCCTATTGAAAAAGGAACGGAGTAAGTTTTCTAACGAGAAAGAAGTATGGTGATATTTTGTTTCTTTTTGGAATGACCTAACGAAATATATTCTTCGTAATTATTCGCAACTTCTTTGCTCATTGAGATTGTTTCTTATACAATGTAGAACAAAAGTATTGACATAGAATGACATGATCGATAAAATCTCATTGTAGAAACACTAACTACTTTTATTTAACCCGTGTATTATTATTCAACCTGTTCCTATAATCTTTCCGCTCTAAATTAAATAAAAAATGAACAACAAAAATTACAAGAAGCCATTTCACAATTATATCGATAATCCACAACTCTGAACACGAAACACTAAAATTATCCCATATAAACTAATGATTTCTACCTAAAACAGTCGTCTTCGAAAGTCTATCAAAAAAGAACACCATCCCACACGAAATTATCTATTGCGTGTACATGCTGCACACGCGATCCAGCTCGTCCCTAGATGAAAGAACGAAACCTAATCGTTTAGGTTTATCCCTAGATGTACCACCTGGCTGCAAGTAAAATTGGACACAGTCATGCACGTGTATATACCGATCCGCCACTTCTGTTCCCGTTTCATGGATCGTCGACCGTGTTCCTTCGTTTCTTCGTCGCATTTTCGTTCACGTGCCCGTCGAGGTCCCGGTCGATTTTACAAGATGGAATTGGAATTCGTTTCATTGCCCACCGTGTCAAACGCTGGGAGGTTAAATCACTGGGTGCCGCGGACCGGAGCAATAAATCCGCTACTCGTATTACAGCTCTCCATTCTGGCACGCACGGCTACAAGCCATTAACAGTCGGCCATTATCGAAAGTCAATCAACCCTCGCCGCTGGATTTCCGAGCGAGACTCCCGACCGACACGTCGCCCCCTTCCTCTCGTTTTTCTACGTTTTCCCTTACCATTTCGTGGTATCCGCCTTGCTCGTAGGACGAGTTAGGGCGTTTCCAGATGATTGGCAAACAGAGGCGATCCAGTGGAAGATTTTCCTGAAGGGTGGAAAAGAAATTAGAGTGGAATTAAAGTACGGCCAAATTCTTGTAATTCGTGAATCAACGTGGCTAAGCTTCACTTGTTCAAAAGCTGTAGTTATATTATTAATTCCTAAACAAACATTCTGTTCTAGTCTAGATTAAAATTCTAATTTTCTATAAAGTAATTCCACTTCGTTTGTTTAACAGCAGTAATTAAGTATAATATAATTATATAAATTATAATATAATATAATTTAATTATATATAATAAATTAATTAATATATAATAAATAATATAAATATATTATAATAAATATTAAAATATAATAATATAAAAGTATTATTTATATATTGTATAATATATAAATTAAATTACTATACAATAAACAAATTTTAATAATTATATACAATAATAAATAATATAAATATTATAAATATATTATATAATAAATACAATATATAATTATGTATATAACATATAAATAATATAAATTAAATTAATATATAATAAATAAATTTTAATAATTATATACAATAATAAATAATATAAATATTATAAATATATTATATAATAAATATAATATATAAACAATATATGTTAAATTAATAAACAAATTTTAATAATTATATATAATAAACAAATTAATAAACAAATTTTAATAATTATATATAATAATAAATAATATAAATATTATAAATATATTATATAATAAATATAATATATAAATTGAATTAATGTATAATAAATAAATTTTATTAATTATATATAATAATAAATTAATTAATAATAAATTATGTAATATAATGCGTATAAATGTATGAATTATAATAGAATATAATTAATTCGATTTCATTAACCTTTTGACAGAATATTACACACTGGTGAAATTTCTGAGGATTAACACATATTTTAAGATCATTGAAATAAGTAAAGTTCGACTCACATGCGAATTAGCTCTCTTTTAATTAAACGCGGATTAAATTCCACCGTGTGGAATACAATCAGACTGAGATATAGAGTACGTGAGCCGCGTAGGAAACACTGGATCCGTTACTCTGCTGACTTGATCTTTTGTTGAATCGTGATACAATGTACGTAAGTACGCAGATCAGTCAAGTAAGCTGACTGTTCCTTTTACAACCTCTGTTCCTTTTAGACGAAACACACACACACATGCAACATTCACACGTAATAAATGCCTCCTCGATCACGTCACTCAATTGCACGTTGCACGTTGGGGAATAATCACTCTACAATTTTCAAACGATTTTTCATGTACTCTCTTGATGCATGGCGATGTCGAAATGATCCCAAAGAAGTTCAATTCTTTGCTAATTAATTTCCTGTTGCGACAAATTCTCGCGTCAAGTATGGTGAAATTCACTTTAGCAATAAAAATGCTTGAGATCTCGAGTCGAGAAGTTGAACGCAAATTCTTGCAAACTATACTCCTCAATTCTTTACTAAGAACTCTTGTTTCTTGAAAACAAAAAGTTAGTTATATAAAAAAGTTAGTTATGTAAAAAGTTAGTTATGTAAAAAGTTAATTATGTAAAAAGGTAGTTATGTAAAAAGTTAGTTATGTAAAAAGTTAGTTATATAAAAAAGTTAGTTATAAAAAACAAAAAGTTAGTTATATAAAAAAGAAAAAAAAGAAAAGAAACTGCTCTCTATCGCGTGCTAGTCGAAGAGAAGAAGCAACTTTTCGGCGATTGCTCTCTCTTTCTCTCTTTCTCTCTCTCTCTCTCTCTCTCTTTCTCTTGGCTCCGATACGAACAACGCGATAAAAAGTTCACTGTCTCTCACACGTTCGAGGAATCGGTTATCGACGTTACGCCTGACAGATAAACGACGCGATGGAAGAATTAATGGACGATCGGAGACGTCCTTGACGAGTCCTTGATACTCGGTACGACCTTATCAACCATTCGAGTCGTTCGAAAACAGACAGAAGATTTATCGAACGTTCGATACACGCGACCTTCGAGGGAAGGTTCAGCTCGAGCAGCACAACCAGCCGGTACTCACGCGTCTTTTCTTCAACTCCTGCGGCGATAATCGGTTCCTGCGGCCTGCCTGCTTCGTTAACCCCATGCGCTGGCAACTGGTTCGCGGACCATAACGAGTGACCGAACCGTATGCAATAATTCGTCTCTTTCCTCTTCTTTCGAACTCGTCCCGGTATGATATCACTGGATAGAAATGATTAAGGGGGCAGGATAGTTACGAATACTTTGGAGGGCAGAGTAAAAAGAAAGTACATATTTCATTGACATGTGAACTATAAGAAGTAATATTAAAAAAGAAAAAAAGGGAGTTCTTATTTAACTTTTTAATGGCATCCTTTTACGTAATTTTTTCTTTTACATTGACTATTACAGCCAAACAGGATTAGTTGCGACAAAAGGCAAAGAAAATTCAACAATATTTCTCTAGGGCAATTATGGCGAACCTATCAGACACTGGCTCACGCAGGCTTTTTAAATGACGTACGCGTTGATTTTTATAGACTTATCATCATATATATAAAAGAATTTTAATTATTTTCCGAACTGCTCTTTCCAAAAAATATTAAGAAAATTACAAGTGTTCGGTTAGAGATCAAAATAAATGCATAATTGTGTTTTATGAAGGATTTACGACTTATTACGGTTATATATACATATAAGTATTTTAAGTCTTAAATGTTATACGACTTAGTTGCGTCCAAAATATTTTATATAGCGCTTACGATTAAACAGATGTAATAAACACTAAAAGACACACTAGATTCCATTCTCAGAATGGGTAGTTTTGCTAGTTTTTTATATAATAAAAGAGAGAACAGACGATAAAAAGTATTAAGAAATAAAGTATATATATCTAATGTATAGTACAGGGATGACTAGGTATGATGTTACCCCTTTTATATCAATTCTTTGACGTCGACATTTGTTTTTTGCTCTTTACTTGCAAAAGTAAAAGTTGTAAAACAAAAAGGAAACGTAAACTTTTTAGAGGATTATAAAAGTGAGAACCAAAGAAAAGTAGTTTTTAACTATCCTCCCCTCCCCTTTTCCAAGTGACGCCACTGACTTAGTGATCTACAAGCTAGTACTAAAAAAAATAATGAACAAAATTTGACCTACTTCTCAAACAGGTTCGCCGTTACTGCTCTAGGGATTGACGATCCAACATTTTCATTTCTGTTATTATGAAAAATAAGTTACCATAAATTATTATATAATTATTATAAATTGTGAAAGTAGCAGCTATTTGTTTTCGGTGTGTCGAATTTATGCCAAAAAATTTTGTTCATATACGTTATAAACTATATTACCGTAAACTATATTAACTTACATATTACCGTAACATATTAACTATATTAACTTATTACTTATATTAACGTATACACGTTTATATACGTTATAAACTATATTAAAATATTAACTACGTTTTTTGTTTACATCTTTCGAAATTGCTAGAAATTAAAAATTGTTCGATCGTCCAGTGACATCACACCGACGAGTTGAAAAAGAAAGCGACGAATTATTGTGTACGATGTTTGGCCACTCGTTATGGTCCGCAATCAGTTGCCAGCGCAACTGGTTAAGGCTCCCTCAGACGAAATTTCAAAGCAGCAAGTCTACAAATCTATATAAATACTTCGAGAAGAAGTTGAACTTGCGAAAGAAACGACGGTATTACGGAAGTAACATTTACCCGATTGAAAATTTCTTTTTCAACTATAAATTATCCCAATTACACAGGACACTCTATATTCATACAACGATCCAACATTTTCATTTCTGTTATTATGAAAAATAAGTTAAATTGTTGTATAATTATTATAAATTATGAAAATAGCAGCTATTTGTTTTCGGCGTGTCGAATTTATGCCAAAAATTTTGTTCATATACGTTATAAACTATATTACCGTAACTGTATTAACTTACATATTAACTATATTAACTTATTACCTATATTAACGCTCTATATTCATACAACGATCCAACATTTTCATTTCTATTATTATGAAAAATAAGTTAAATTATTATACAATTATTATAAATTATGAAAATAGCAGCTATTTGTTTTCGGCGTGTCGAATTTATGCCAAAAATTTTGTTCATATACGTTATAAACTATATTACCGTAACTGTATTAACTTACATATTAACTATATTAACTTATTACCTATATTAACGCTCTATATTCATACAACGATCCAACATTTTCATTTCTATTATTATGAAAAATAAGTTAAATTATTATACAATTATTATAAATTATGAAAATAGCAGCTATTTGTTTTCGGCGTGTCGAATTTATGCCAAAAATTTTGTTCATATACGTTATAAACTATATTACCGTAACCGTATTAACTTACATATTACCGTAACATATTAACTATATTAACTTATTTCCTATATTAACGCTCATATTCATATTCATACAACGATCCGCCAATTTTTTTCGGGAAATCGATATTTGACGGACGTACGGGAAAATGATTCGAAAACGATTGCACGAGGGTTTCGTTGGTAAGCCACGAGAGGCCGGTGTCGCGAGGATCGAGAGCTGGCAAAAAGTTGGCTCGATAGATTTTCACCTGGTTTGCAGGCAAGTACCGTGCAACATCCCGTGGTAGAAAAGGGCCAGACTGAAACACAATCCGTTCCGTATTCCGTGCGTGAAAGCCGCTTGGTCACGAGGTGACATCCGACAATGCTTGGTGCCCACGCAGCGCCGTAGCGCGTAAAACACGTCGGTCGCGTTTTCGCCGCGAGGCATCAAGTTTCTTAGAAACAGAAGCGACGCTGTTAGTGGTTGGTAGCTCGCGTTGTTGTAATTCGTTCGTTTTGTTTCTTTTTTTTTTTTTTTTTTGTTTCTTTCGTCGGTTAGAAAATCGAAAGCTGATTTTCGTTTTTAACACGTTTGTTGCGAATTCGTCGTTACAGCCGGCAGCTATCGAGGATCTACGAAGATGGACATCCACAGAGGCGCTCGGGGACGTTACCGTACCACCGGATTGCATGTCCAGGATCCTCGGGGATACAACGACCGACGATGCCGTCGATCACAAGCTGCCCAGCCCCGAGGAACAGGTCCAAGCAATCGCTCTCAAGTAAGCAGGAAATTTATGCCACCGTAAAGATAATGGGTACCAGCTTTGTCGATTCAGCCAAGTGTAAATCTCGCACAGTTTCGCGAACGACGAAGGAAGTACACACGAAGTTCGAATCACTTCAGTTTGGAACTCTCTGAATCTCTAGTTTCTAATTTTATTTCTCGTCTGAAGAATCAAACGATAGGTTAACTAGGTTCAAGCCTGGTGAAGAGCGTTATTCTAAAAAAAGTTATTATAGGCGCAGTTTATGTTTGAATTTTTTTTCTTTTTTTATTTGCATAGTTGAAAGCTGGATCAATAGGACGAATTGGTATTAGAATGGGTCACAGGATCACTGAAAGACTGAATGATATAAAACAAAAATAACTTTTACAAACATACGTTCTTTCAATTTTTTATTTATATTTCATTATTTTATATTATTTATTTATTATTTTATTTGGAAATATAATTAATGGATTTTTCTCAGAATTTCTATAAATCTTTCAAACTTCAGTTTTTCAATGGCCATCCTATATATTAGTTTAATGTTAGAATGAAAGTAAGTTCGAAATCTGGGTACGTAAATGCCATAACGATGATTTTATTTCTGATGGCTGCATATACACGCAACGTTGGAAGATCGTGTCTCGAAGTTGGTATTCGCGTCAAAAATTCTACTTGTCGAAGATACAAATTTCAAAACAGTGGTCGATCTTCAAACTTTAGTGTTACGAATACGTTATTTTCGTGTTTAACCATTGTAATCGTTCATCGTCGACGTCGATTTTCAAATTATCGTTGATGCGTCTTAGATTCCCGGCAGAGATCGTGGCGGTGGACGTCAGTGGCAGAGGATTCGAAAGAATGTCGATGAGAAGGAGATCTCTGCTGTCTGGTCCGGAGAGCCAAGAGACAGCGGTGAAACGACGATCGAGGCCTCGACGACCCCGAGGGAAAAGACGGAACACCATCGCCGGTACCGATCAAAAGGAAATTCGACAAGCTATCGGAGGGTGAGTTCACACGCGTACCATCTCTAGATATCTAAAATGTACTTACGAATTTGAATCTTCGATAGATTGAAGTAGGAACGTATTTCTTTTTCCCTTTTTTCTTCTTCCTTTTTGCCAAGTCTAGTGACACGCAGAGCTCGAATCTTCGAAGCTTCAAGGCTGAAAGTTCAAACTTTTGAAGCCTTAAAAAAATATATACTTTGATTCCAGCTACTTTTGTTAACAAAAATATTAATATAAATAAATAAATGAAAATATCTATTAACACTGGAATATCAAAATATTCTATATATAAATCATCATAGTTTAAACGATGATTAAGATAAATAGATTTATATTTATAATTATGCTTCTGTCCAAACAAACAGAAATCAGTATATCAATTTTGACGGGAATGTGCGTGTCTTTTCAATAATAATAATAATTAGACAGGCTTGATAATAATTTTGTAGCTCTAAACACTCACCGTGTTATATATAATTATAAAATTTATTATTGTTGAAGTAAGTTTTTGATAAAGATTGCGCAAGAATCAGTACAGTGCATGAATATTTTTCCTAAGGGTTAGTATTCCTATTAGTATATTCCTAAGACTTTGCTATTTTTAGAATGAACTCTCAGTTTTGTACTTACGCCAATCTTATAGGAATTTTATAGGAAATTCCTTGCCTTAAAACCTGTCTCCACGCCTAGCGCGAATGATAATAATTATATGCGACTGGGGGATCGACGTTTTCATCAGAGATATTAAAATGAAAAAAATAGAAATACAATAGAGTAAATTTTTATTCGTGTGTTATATAAACAATCGTTTAAATTTTTAAAAATACACTGTTTTGCATCTGTAATATATCTAAAAAAATTTATGACCATTTCGGTAGTTTTAATGTTAATAAAATTTTACAGGAAATCTCTTACCTTGAAACCTGTCTCAACGTCTATCACGAATGATGGAAATTATACGCGATTTCATCAGAGATATCAAAATGAAAAAAAATAGAAATACAATAGAGTACACAAACTTTTATTCGTGTGTTTTATAAAAAATTATTTAAATTTTTAAAAATACACCGTTTTGCATCTGTAATATATCTAAAAAAATTTATATTTATAAATTATAAATTTTTAAAAATACAGTTTTATATCTGTAATATATCTAAAAAAATTTGACCATTTCGGTAGTTTGAATGTTAATAAAATTTTATAGGAAATCTCTTACCTTGAAACCTGTCTCAACGTCTATCGCGAATGATGGAAATTATACGCGATTTCATCAGAGATATCAAAGTGAAAGGAAATAAAAATACAATAGAATACATAAATTTTTATTCGTGTGTTTTATAAAAAATCATTTAAATTTTTAAAAATACAGTTTTATATCTGTAATATATCTAAAAAAATTTGACCATTTCGGTGGTTTTAATGTTAATAAAATTTTATAGGAAATCTCTTACTTTGTAATCTATCTCAATGCCTAGCGCGAATGATAAAAATTATACGGGATTGGTGGGATCGACGATTTCATCAGAGATATCAAAGTGAAAAAAAATAAAAATACAATAGAATAAACATAGAAAATACAAACTTTTATTCGTATGTATTTTATAAAAAATTATTTAAACCTTCTTTATTTTTAAATACACTGTTTTGTATCTGTAATATAAAAAAATGGTCTAAAAAAATTTACGACCATTTCGATAGTTTTAATGTTAATAAGATTTTATAGGAAATCCCTTACCTTGAAATCTGTCTCAACGCCTAGCGCGAATGATAGAAATTGCACGCGTCGGTTTCGAGAGTGCGACAATCGGGGAAATATTTCCGATCTTTGCTTTGCAGAGAAACGACCGGGGAAGAGGCGGACGAGACGATGTCGAATATCACGTCGAGGGCTCATCGATCGGCCAGCACGGATATATTAGGCTCGTCGAAGAAAGACTCGCCGACGGAAAAGAAATCTCACTTCAATACGTTGAAGGCGTGGGGTATGTCCAGACTGAAATTGATCAGCCCGAAATCCAGTCAGCAGCAGCAGCAGCAGGAGCAACAGGAGGCGAGCGCAGCGTCGGGCGCAGAGAGGTCAGAGCAGGATGAAGGTCAGTCGAGATCAGCCGAGGAAACAAATATTTACGAAATGGTAATAACCAGGCGCAGAAAGGACAAGTCGCACGAAAGGAAGCCGAGCTCGTCGAGCTCGAGCGGCAAGAGCACCTCGAGCATACCGGTGTCAGTGCCGAACGCCGACAGGCAACAACAGAGCGTGAAATTGCGCGAAAGCGCGGCCCAAAGGAGAGAAAGACGAAAGGGGAGCAGCCGCGACGAGCCGCCTCATTCCAGCTCTGGAAACTGGAGTGCATCCTCTGAAAGCGGAAGGGCGAGTATCGGAAGCGAGACCACTACCACCACGCATCAGCCAAGGTACGACACTGTTACTCGTTTTTCGAGATCACGATGATTTCTTCACTGAGGAAGAGAAAAAGAGAAGGGGGAAATTAACGCCTTGAGAATTTTTTGTATACGGATACGAAGCTTGTGTAGAGGAGATGGATCATTAGATATTGCCATCTAGATTTACGTCATTGTTATTATTTCGCGTGGCGAAAAATGTTTCAGATGAGGTTGAATGATTTCGAGAGATTTTTGATGGTACTAGTTTTCTTGTAGGTGGACGTGTAGAGGACATATGAAGGTCATCAATGTTTCTTTAAATGGAATTATGTATTTTTTTTTGTTGCGTCAGTTGATATTCTTTACAAAAAAAAAAGTATTAAGCTATTTGTATGTTAAAAAATCGTTAGGAAATATTTTAATTTTAATTTTGTAAAATTATCGTATGAAAGACATGGAAGGAAAAGGTTAGTATTCTTATATTTATACTGTCTTTGTCTTTCGTTACGATAATCTTACAAAATTAAAATTAAAATGTCTCCTAAACTAATGATTTTTTTTTTTTTAAATAAATAGACTAATATATAAGGTTTCACGTATTAACCACTTGTGTTGGCAACCGATTGCGGACCATAACGAGTGACCAAACCGTATACAATAATTCGTCGTTTTCTTTTTCTTTTGAACTCGTCGGTAATGACATCACTCGATAGAAATTATTGAGAAGTAATAAATTTATTATTATGTTATTATATTATATTGTATTATTTATTATTATATTTTGCCTAGTTTGTTTTACTTAAATATACTTAAAACTGAGGAAGTATTACAATTTTGGGACAAAAAATTCTCGACGTGCGTTGCACGTTATTTTAGCGCAAAAAGTTAACAAGTAGTTCATACACATACATAGGATGGTCACTGATGATCTAAAACACATGTTTTTTTTATTTTATTTGGAAATATAATCAATGGTTTTTTTCACTATTACGTGAAAAAAATAATAATATATTATATGTGAAAAATATTAAAGAAATATATTTTAATGAAATTTGACTATAAATAATAAGGTGCATCTTTATGCAATTACTAGATTAATTTATACACTATTAGAATATAAATTGTAGTACAGTATTAGAATATAAATGTTTATTACTTTTGACGTACAATTAAATTCAAAATCCTCTCGACAACCGGTGGATTGTCGCATCATGATGGTGCATCATAGGATTAATTTAGTAATTTTTATTGGATATAGATATACCTTATTACTTATAGTCAAATTTCATCAAAATACATTTTTTATTCTTATATAAATATTCTTCACATATAATATTTTATTACTTTTTTCACGCACAGTACTGAAAAAAAAATCCATTAATTATATCTTTTTTCATATTATGTGTCAGAAACAAAAAAAAAACCATTCAGTGTTTCAGTGGCCACCCTATATAATAAGTTTATTGTTAAGTTCACGTTCAAACACCATGGATATCCAGTTGACAGAAGTTTGATATCCTTCAATTAATTCAGTTTATTGGTCCAAAACTGATGTTTCATTTAGATCTAATATAAATCTAAATATTAGTACGCAATATATGAATATAGATTAACGTTAGACTGTTATCGTGTGTCTAGATCGACGACAACCGCCTCGATTGGAACCTCGTCGACATCTTTGAGCCACGTGAGACGATTCAAGGGACGAGATACGTCGACGTCATCCTCGGTAACGTCGGAGGGTACATTAACTCCAGACATTATACAAGATATTGCCGTGATACCTTTCTCGGACGACGGTGAAACATCGTCCGTGTATTCCTGCGATACGGAGGGCTATTACACCTCCTTTCACGTGGACTCTGGCCTAAAAACTTTACGGGAGGAGGATCCAGTGCCGCAGTGTCCATTGATGAAATCGAACGATATCAGCTCCGATCCTACCTCACCGGTTGTCGAGAACGAATACGAGCTCTTTGGTAGAGGTTCGACGTCGACAACGACGAGCTCCGCGGGCACCGTGTGCACCGCTTTAATGGCACCGCCGCCGCCAGAAAGAAAATCTAGCCTAACCGTTGTTGCCATGGTATGGAAGGAATTTCTGCTTTCTTGCAATCTTGTCATTTTTTTTTTTTTTTTTTTTTTTTTTTTTTCTTAAATATCAATCTTCGAACGGCGAAGGCTGGATTGAATTTAGTACATGTAGATGTACACGTAGATGTTATAATTGTAGATGCAAATTCATATTTTTTCACCTTGGTGAAAAATTTCTTTTACCAAAAAATACTTTGCACAAAAATTGCAATATAACACGCGCTGTTATATTGTCGAATTAATTATTATTTAAATTATTATATTGTCGAATTGATTATTATTTAAAAATACTTTGCGCGAAAATTGTAACATAACACGCGCTGTTATATTGTCGAATTAATTATTATTTAAAGAATAATAATTAATTATTATTTAAAGATATAGAGAAAAAGATAAGATAAAAGCTTCCAATCGGCTGTTCGTTTTACTCTCTTGAAATGAAATATTCAACCGATTCGGCTTCCGCTGGACGAGGATTAACCCGTTAGAACTTATGACACGTACCACTGACAGCATTTATTCCATAATTTACTCGATCTCTTGTAATTTTTTTTCTCAAGTATGTGTAACTTCGGAGCAATATGTTTGTTTTCTTTCTTTTTTTTTTCTAAATTAGAAGCTGCGACTCACTAACGGATGGAAAAATTGGTATAGTAAGTTGAGATGATTGAGAGTGATTGTCTACAAGGTAAACACGTGCAATGTATGTTTGTATATGTTTGTATGTGTTTTTAAGTGACGATAACCAAACGGAGTAGTGGTGTAAAAACGTACATTTCCACATTGCGAGAGATTTAAAAGAATAATAATCCGGCTCAATAACAAATTAATGTACATGTAATACGAAGTGGGTGTACTTAAACTTAAATTAATTCGTTTTCGCCTGCGAAATCGTACGTGATTAATAAATTTTTAAACATCTCACCAATACCTCGTCTTGTAACAACCCAAATTTATTAAACGCATTCTCAACTTTCTATCTTCTCTTTGTCTTCTTCTCGTCATTTCTGATTCTCTCTCAGAAATTCGCTCATTTCATTGACCGGGGTCTTTCATTTTCATCGTCGACAGGTTCACGGGCCAAACCAGAACGGCGGCGAGTCGCCAGACAGCGGTCACAACACCTCGTCGTCGCCCGTGGAGTCAGCCTCGAGTCCAGCCTGCACCGGAAGATCGTGCTCGGAGTTCGAGTACTCGGAATCGAGCGACCTCGAGGGCTGCGAGAGGATCGAGAGGATCCGCTCGAAGACGGCGATCAACACCAGCCGTATACCGTCCATGTGCGTGATTACGCCACCAGGATCCGACGACGAGCACGCGACGAGAGATTCGGATCAGACGAGCAAGAAGACCGAGAGCAGGAAGGCCGATCTTCAAACGGGCGGATCGGTTCTCATGTCCGCCACGGTTGGCACATCCAAGATGGAGGTGATTAACGGGCAGGACAAGAACCTATACGCCACGATTCAGGTGTTACCTTCGTCCACGAACGAGAAGCCCGCAATCGGGCAAAGTCAGGCGGTCAAGATCAGCCCGCTGAGCGGCGTTCTTGGCAAACTTCGTGGTGTTCTTCCTGGCAGGAAGCAGATACTGAAGAGCACCGTTCAGGGAACCGAGCAAGGGAACGCAGCAGACTCCGGCGACTATGTCACCATAGCCGACGTGAGAAACAACAACGACAAACGTCAAGATTCACCATCTTGCTCGGCTGGCGCCACTCCGGTCCGGTCGCCGGTCACCTACGCCAACTCGGACATTTTTAAGAAGGACGCCGAGTACGTTAGCCTGAGCGAACTACCGAAGAAGCCTGACTCGTCTTTGGAGAGGAAGAGACAGGGCGCGAGGGTCACGTTGGACTCGGAGGGCAAGGTCGTTTATTCGTCGGACAGCTTGAAGAGGAGGAAGGGCGCTCACACCACGTTCAATCCAGGTGTGTTTCGTTGGTTTTATTATTATCAAGATCAATGGATGACGCGATGCTTATATTCAGTGATATTGTACGATATTCTTCTGTACTTCTCAACGGAAGCTAGAATTTTCTCTGTCAATTTTATCAATCTTCGAACTTTATAGATAGATTTTGTACAGTTTTATGTATTTCTTCTTTCAACTATATTTTCAAATATATTCAACTAGTATAAAGTCATATATATATTCTATATTCCATATTAGTCATATATATTTATATATTCTATATTTATATATTCTATATTCTATATTCTATATTCTATATTTCTATATTCTGTATTCTATATTTCTATATTTCTATATTTTTATATTCTATATTCTATATTCTATATTCTATATTTCTATATTGCTATATTGCTATATTTTATATTTCTATATTTCTATATTTCTATATTCTATGTTTCTATATTTCTATATTCTATATTTCTATATTCTATATTTCTATATTCTATATTCTATATTTCTATATTTCTATATTCTACAATCTATATTTCTATATATATTTATATATTCCATATTCTATATTTCTATTATATATTTATATATTCTATATTCTATATTTCTATTATATACTTATATATTCTATATTCTATATTTCTATTATATACTTATATATTCTATATTCTATATTTCTATTATATATTTATATATTCTATATTTCATATTATATTTCATGTAATATATTCAATATTCTCAATAAGCATTGAAGTCTCAAGTGAAAATACACATCCTTTTGCGTCATTAAATTCTCTTATTCGTTAATTATTTATTAATCTCTCTAATATACATATGCTATTGCTACCCAATTCTACAATCTAAGCTGTATTCAGTTAAACCGCTTTCTCATCTGCGTTAAAATCCATTAGGTCCATTCGTAAGGGAGGGAGCGTCGCCAAGCCCGTCACCCCTGTTGCACCGCGCGACACCGAACGTGCGGGCAGTGACAAAGACCAACGACACGGTGGACGGGCCGAGCAGATCTACGCCACCTACCTCGCCTCAATTGGGCAAAGTGATCATCAGAGCGGCGAGAAGTCCCGACCGCGCCGTCAGCCCGGATTACGTGCGAACCCCGACGACCGTGGTTGGTCCGACCAGTCCAACTGCCCATCGACACGTGCGCGGAGCTTACGTCAACGTGCAGGAGGACGAAGGTAAGGCGGCTTCTGGCACGAGCACTGTCGAACGCGACTGCACTGGCTGCGCCGGTAGATTAGAGGCACAATGTACACTCGCGACGAACGATCAGCCTAACAGGCTGAACGCACCTCTGACCATCAACGACGGAAGCCCATTGTTTTCGGCTAGAAGCACCTGTCGAACGGCCTGCGGGACGATAGCACTGGCACCGAGTAACAAGCTGTCGGACCCTAGTAAGTCTAAATTCTCCTCTAGCAAAACAGCTAGGTCCGCTGCTGATGCAACTGATCGCGACGAGAATCACCCGCCGTGTCTCGCTAACGATAATCCGACTCAGAATCGAGTTTCGAGCAGAGCGGGCCAAGCGTCCGCCGTGGATCTCAATGCCACGAATTTGCGTCTCGACTTCGAGAGATCGGCTCTCTGCTCGAATGGCTCGAGACCAAGCGTTAACACTCCGAAGTCGAGTAGAAAGTTGCTGGTGTCCGACTTGGACACGCCTAACTTCTGTAGGAAAATCACGAAGCTAGATCCCCGGTGTGACGAGGAGATAGGTGTTAGAGAGAGCGATGCCGACGAATCTGGATTGAACGACAGAGGCACGATCGTTGATTCGGGTTTTAGCGAGACGTGTCCCGATAACGGCCATACGAAAAAGTCCGAGTCGTTCAAGGTTAACGACAGAGCGGAGCGTAAAGTGAAACGGAGCGAGAGTTATCGTATGGCGAACAGTCCGATCATGTTCATCAAAAAGTTCTCCAGCAACGGGGAGAAATCGTCGAAGATCTGCAGAACACCGTCGGAGGAGCTGCAGGAGGAGTTGTTGAAGGAAAGGATCAATTATCCGGAAACGGTATCCAGCCCTGAGCCACCGCACGTGAACTTCGATATGAACGTGACGATCTCGATTCCCGTTACGACCGTGGCGAAAAGCCCTAGGCCCAGAGCCACGGACATCGAACCCGCCAGAGTGCTCAAGTATTCCGGCAACGATACTGAAATTTGGTGATCGATGAAATGTCTCCGGGTGAATCTTTCGGGAGATCTCTCTCCCAACTGTTATTATTATAACGAATCACAAATGATGATAACAGTAAAGTAAAAAGTAGGGCAAAGGAATTATTTCTAGGTGGGTCACATATTGTCATCTGGATTTACGTCATTATTATCACATGTAGCGAAAAATGTTTCAGATAGAGTTGAGTGGTTTCGAGAGGAGCACGTTTCGATGATGCTAGTTTTCTTGTAGGTGGACACATCAACGTTTTTTTAAATGGAATCATTTATTTTTTATTGCATCAGTTGATGCACCTTGATATTCTTTACAAAAGAGTATCAACCTGTTTATGTTAAAGTTTAGGAGATATTTCAAAAAATTAGTTTAAGAGATATTTTAATTTTAATGTTGTCAGGAAGTCATGATCCCCTTTGTTAATGTTGTAATGATTTTATTTACAGAAAAGGTTCAATGTGACGACCATTTACGTCACGACATTTTCTGAATCGAATCATTGTGTAACGTAGCTGGTGTTATTTTTATTACACTCAGTGATGATACGATCTTTCATATTAGCCACTGTAAGTCTTACTTCTCAGGCTTATTTCCCAACAACATTAAAATCAAAATATCTCCTAAACTGATGATTTTTTAACATAAATAGCTAACTAATAACTAATAATAATTAAACATTTCTTAACGTATTCGTTTTTGTAAAGAATATCAAGGTGCATCAACTGATGCAAAAAGAAAATGTGTGATTCCATTTAGAAAAATGTTGATATGTCCACCTACAAGAAAACTAGTGTCATCAAAATGTGCCCCTCTCGAAACCACTCAACTTTATTTGAAACATTTTTCCCTACGCGAAATAATAATAATGACGTAGGTCTAGGTGGCAATCTAGATGTGGTGACCCACCCTGTATATTGAGCTGACAGGTGTAATAACTGTGACACTTTTTTTTTTTAACAACTGTACTCGAAAGATCGTCACTTTGAAAACATTTGACCTGTGTAATTGGTGGAAATCAGATTTTGAGAACTTCGTTACCTGTGATACTGTGCAGCAATAGATAATATCAACCTGATTCTCCGAATTTACTTGCAAAGTATCGATCAGTGTTAAATGTTACTTAATTAAGTTGTCGATGTTACTCGATTCGCTCATAAATTGCACACAAAACGTGTGAAACGTGTGAGTTAATTCCAAGGATGCGTTGCGCATATAACGTACAGTTGAAAATTTCACAGACAGAGAAGTGAAAATTTTTCGACGAGAAACACCCAAAATTATGCAGCTAAGTCTAAAGCCTTCGGAGATAATCAATGAAAATTGCCAAGTACGTCTGCACTCGATACAAATCCAGTAACCGAGGAATATATCTGTATATCGGTATCTTCCCGATACGTTGCGAACTTTGCGAGATCCTCCTTGTCCATTGTTGCACAAGCATTGTTACGTAAACGGCGCGTTAGATAATTGCCGAAGCCGGGGCGTCTGAGCAGTAAATAGACGGATCAGCTGGAGCTTGATCTCTCATCAAGGACCAACGCGAACCGCGAACAACCGAAAGAAGAAAACGAAAGAGCCGATTTTTCTGCAGATATGTGCTCCAGCTGCTGACGAGAGGGAATGGTCATTTACTTGGGAGTTTAACGAGGGCAAGCGATTAATGAGGGAACGATTTATCCGTGCCGACGGTCACCCGATAAACGAGCGATCGAACAATGTTTTTCCGCGTAACGTGGCCACGATAGGGAAAAGTCACGTTTCACGTATATCTGGCGGCTCACCCGTCCGATCTGTCCCCGCAGATAAATACGAATTCTCCGCTCGTTGCCGCCTTTCATGGCGTACGGAATATTTCAGAGTTCAATAATTTTTCGACGATAAGAAACAGCCTGGGGAATACCACTACCGAGCCGAAGTCTACACATGCAGTATCGTGCACGCTTTTCGCAAGGTTAATAGATAACATTGCATACGTCCATGTCCCAACGATCACGTTTCTCCGTCTTTTAACTGCTATGGACTTTCCATTCCGTTCTTCCACGAACGAGCACCCGATTACGCGTATCGGCGCTGACGGATAAAAAATGTATTCTTGCCATTGTCTCTCTCTCTCTCTCTCTCTCTCTCTCTTGTAGCTTCTCCTTTCACACTGACATGTGCACACTTTATGAGAACGGGATGTGTTCATTTTTCTCACAGAATTTTCCGTCCGCTTGGTTCTGTGATATTTCTTCTGCGATTTTTCACACTCCATCGGGATAGTTGGATACGAAATACCATAACGGTACGGTAATTGGGTAATTGACACTAGAACTACTAGATGATTAAAACATAAAATTTCTATCAGAGACATCAGTGTCCAAAGAACAGAGAAACTTTATGATAATGTATATAAGCTGTCATTTATATATTTTACGAAAAATTATTTAAATCTTTAAAAGTACAGTGTTATTGAAATATGTTTATAAAATTTCCATCAGAGACATCAAAGTCAAAAGAATAGAGAAACTTTATGATAATGTATATAAGCTGTCATTTATATATTTTACGAAAAATTATTTAAATCTTTAAAAATGCAGTGTTATTGAAATACGTTTATAAAATTTCCATCATAGACATCAAAGTCAAAAGAATAGAGAAACTTTATGATAATACAATGTGTATAAGCTTTCATTTATATATTTTACGAAAAATTATTTAAATCTTTAAAAATACAGTGTTATTGAAATACTTTTATAAAATTTCCATCAAAGACATCAAAGTCAAAAGAATACAGAAACTTTATGATAATGTATATAAGCTGTCATTTATATATTTTACGAAAAATTATTTAAATCTTTAAAAGTACAGTGTTATTAAAATATGTTTATAAAATTTCCATCAGTGTCAAAGGAACTTTATGATAATGTATATAAGCTGTCATTTATATATTTTACGGAAAATTATTTAAATCTTTAAAAATACAGTGTTATTGAAATATGTTTATAAAATTTCCATCATAGACATCAAAGTCAAAAGAATAGAGAAACTTTATGATAATGTGTATAAGCTGTCATTTATATATTTTACGAAAAATTATTTAAATCTTTAAAAATACAGTGTTATTAAAATACGTTTATAAAATATTTAACAGAAATTGTAAATTGGTTAGTTTGACCACTTTGGTATTTCTAGTGTGAAAATGGGGCGTTTCTTCGTGAAAAGGTTTTGTCACAGGTAGATGCATACAAAAGTCTCGAAGTTGCAAAATAAATTGCAAAAATAGGTGAAACGTTTGCAATATTTAATAGCTGAAACAAGATTCAATTTAGGTTCCTCTTTTTAATTTACATCTACAAAATTAAAAATGAAACGAATTTGTGAATGGAATTTCGAGATTTTAGAGATTTTCTCACCTTCTCAAATTTTATCACGATTGCATTCACACATATATATATAGATTGAAAACAGGATGTGCAAACAGTGAAAGTTGCACGCTTCATTTTCAGAGTGTCCGATTTCTATAATCGCGCGAAGATACAGCCAAACGAATACAAACATTAGTATTCTCCAACGAAAACTACCGACGACTAGAGTATATAATGTATATAATGTTTGCAGCAAAGAGATTAAAGTGCAAGGTGCAAGAAGAAGTTAATGATACAATAAAGAAACGCAAGCTTCATCTATTAATACATTTTATCAAAGATTACTCGAGTATCTAAAAATATATATCGTTACGGATATATAAACTTTACATAGAAAATTATAAATTCGCCATTTTCACCATCTTGATAGTATAATAATTATCAATGTAACAAACGCCGCGATAATTACAATTAGCGTAGCAAAATCCCTCGTGCGGCCGCAGTGGAAAATTTTCGAAACGGAAAGATCCATGAGACTACCCATCCAAAAAGCGATTGAATATCTGCATAAACAAATTATCTTAAGCACGCACGTGGCCGCAAGTAAAGACAGAAATTAGGAAACGCAAACGATTGTTTACCGAGCCGGGAGCGA